CCGCTCAAAGCAGATATAGTGGGATTTTCTGCCTTGATAGTCTGAGATATAGGGCTGTGTGGAAGCGGCCTCAGTTAACCCAGTTCAAAGCAGATATTGTGGGATTTTCTGCCTTGATAGTCTGGGATATAGGGCTGTGTGGAAGGGTCCTGAATGTGGACTCACATAACCCAGCTCGAAGCAGATATAGTGGGATTTTCTGCCTTGATAGTCTGAGATATAGGGCTTCACATAACCCAGCTCAAAGCAGATATAGTGGGATTTTCTGCCTTGATAGTCTGAGATATAGGGCTGTGTGGAAGGGCCCTCAGATTACCCAGTTCAAAACAGATATTGTGGGATTTTCCGCCTTGATAGTCTGGGATATAGGGCTGTGTGGAAAGGCCCAGAATGTTGACTCACATAACCCAGCTCAAAGCAGATATAGTGGGATTTTCTGCCTTGATATTCTGGGATGAGGGGCTGTGAGGAAGGGCCCTCAGATAATCCAGTTCCAACCGGATATTGTGGGATTTTCTGCCTTGATAGTCTTGGGGTCCTTTCACACAGCCCTATATTCCAGAATATCAGATATTGTGGGATTGTCTGCCTTGATATTCTGGGATATAGGGCTGTGTGGAAGGGCCCTCAGATAACCCAGTTCAAAGCAGATAGTGTGGGATTGTCAGCCTTGGTAGCCTGGGATGTGGGGCTGTGTGGAAGGGTGCCGGGCTGGAGGCGCGTGGCTAGCCTCGCGGGGGCCGTGGGCTCAGAAGGCAGCCTGGAGCGCCAAGAGGGGCCGGGCCCAGAGAAAGCGAAGGCGAGCGCCCTTCCCGCCTTGCCTGCTTCCCTCCTGGGGAAGGCAGGCCGAGGGCGGTCCGGGGCTGCCCTGACCCCGGCCCTGGGCGGCTCAGGGGCTGGAGGCGTGTGCTGTGCGAGGTGTGTGTGTGTGTGAATGAATGCGAGGCTTTCCTCAGGCGAGCCCGGGTCCCGGCGAAAGCGATTTGAATTTGGCTCGGCGCTGCTGTGCGCAGGCGTCCCCGCGGCTGGCTGGCTGGCATGCGATGCGGGCTC